AGTGTCCGAATTTTGATTACATGACCATGGGGATGCTGCAACGGTCAATAAGTGAGAAAAATGATCCTGTCACTTTTTTTTCAGTGCCATTGTAACTTTGAACAAATTGCTGTAAGTTGGGACTACCTGTATGCAAAATATGTACCAATATCTCTAAAGGCACCAACTGTGGTTTGAGTGAAAATGGTTTTTCGTTCTCTCTTAAAGCTCTAAATCCACTGGAGACTGCTGACTTGCATTCTCCTCATGAGGAACAGCTTTCTGGAGCACTTGTGGGTGGTCTCAAGACCTCTCATCTGGAAAAGAATTATAAAGAGCTGTTCTACTTGCCAGGTCTCCATTCCGCTGTTATTGGCTCCACTTTTAGCTGAATGTCTTCGGCTTGCCTTTCTTTCCCCAGAAATCTGTTTAGAACTCTGTTAATTTATTTCTACCAATATTTGTATGTTTTCTTACAAAAAGTATTTTTTTTTTTGCAGAAACAAATTTAGATTATTAGTTAGATGCACTAGTGCAAGAGTGTCAAACTCAAGGCCCGGGGGCTGGATCTGGCCCACCGGGTGCTTAGATCTGGCCTGCGGGGCTGCCCTGGAAACAGTGAAGGACTGGCCTCTGCCAGTGAAACGGAGCTCGGGAGGGCTGCGTGAGGCCCTCCTGAGCTGCGTTTGTGTTGGCAGAGGGTTGCAGGAGGCCGTCGCAGCCAAAAATGGAGCTCCGGAACTTGTTTTCGCCGGCAGAGCACTTGGACCATCACAGGCACCCGACACGAGTGACATCAAGCTGGCCCTGGCCACACCCACCCCAGCCCCCGAGGTCAGACATAACCCTGATGCAGCCCTCAATGAAATAGAGTTTGACACCCCTGCACTAGTGAGTGGACACTGAAATCAACAACTGGAATCTAAATTTTAAACATAGCAAACAGGCAAATTTGACTTTCTGTGAATTATAGAAATCAAATTAGTTCAACTTGCAGATTCCTCATACCGCTCTGAACATAACATAACATAAACGTAACGTAACATAAACATTCTGAATTCTAGACCATATAAAAAATGATATAACCTACCTTACAATTTGGAAGTTTTGTTTTTAGTATTATATCTGTAAATGTTAGCATTTTAGAAATTCAAAATTTATATTTCTGAAGTGACTATATTTTGGTAGGATAAACAAGTGTCTTTATTATAGGATAAAAAGATTGGGAGGAGAAATCCTGCTGTTGCTCAAGAGAGATTTATACAATATATTGTAATGATGCCAAATAGTATCTAATAAGGAAGAAAATAGCCTGTTTTCTGCAGTGCGTATGTTATCTTATCCCTTGGGGAAAAGAACCTCCAGAATGATTAGATCCCAGCCATTCTATGCAACATGGATGAAAAAATAATTGGCTTGTTTTTAGCACTGTGGAGCCTCCCTATCATTATTGTAGCTGAATGGTAAATACCTACATAAAAATAAGAGAGTTTTCTCAATCCTTTCCACTTCTCTTGTTTCGTTCGTGATGTACGATTGAATGCTGTCCTCCCATTATACTTGTAGATTGTTTCATTTGGAAACAGCTTAAAAAGAAAGTACCTTGAAGATGATTAAAAAGTTTCATAAGAATCCTATCAAGAAATGTTCTTATCTCTCAGGGGAACACAAATTCAAGAAAAGCCCAGAGTTTATATTGTCAAGACTGCAAGCAAAACAATGCTTGTTTGCTTATATTATAAAAGCTAGAAACTATAAAAACCGCAGGTGGCATAAATCAGATATATTTACCCCATTGTTTAATAGAAGGCAGGCTGAATAAATAAAAGTATTTCTTAAAGAAAATAAATTGAAAAAGGGTGTTGAAGGTTGGTTCTTATTCATATATTTTAGTGAGGAATAGAAGTTAGTATTTCTATTAGGACAGCATTCTCTTACTTTCTCGTAAGAACTATCAGTAAAAAAAGATGGTAATAATTTTAGATGAATTTCCAGCTTCTTGGAACTAAAGAAATTCTTCAAATATTTTTGAGGAAGCTGAACCAGTTCTGTCTTTCATAGAGAAGTCCTTGCTGTTGAAACAACCTTTAAAATAATTATATTTCACATTAACAGACTATGTTCCACATCCTGAAAAACACTGAAGCAAACTTGGGATACAGCAGTGCACAAGCACAAGTGTTGTGCAAGGGTAATAAGGCAGTATTTTTCAGTAATTGAACAGTTTAGTTTCACTTAATATATTGAGAGTAGGGCCCTTTCTGGCCATATTTGGTATAAAAAAACCAATTAAATATTTGATGGACAGTTTATAACAAAATTGCCATAAGAAATGGGACAATGGAAAAGTGGCAAAAATGAAGCACAACAGAAAAATAACACATTTATAGCATATAGCATATTTGTTCCATAGCAAAGCTTGTGGCAGATAAAATCCTAGAATCTCTGGAGATCAAAATAACATTCAAAATAAGATCAAAACACTTCAAAGCTAAGGCTTATTCCACATTGAAGTACATCGGTTCACATTTCTACCTTATTTTTGTCACATATGATTGTTTTAAAAGATTTATATAGCATTAAATAAGCATACTACAAGTGAAACTCAAAAAATTAGAATATTGTGCAAAAGTTCATTTATTTCAGTAATGTGACTTAAAAGGTGAAACTAATATATGAGATAGACTCATTACATGCAAAGCGAGATAGTTCAAGTCTTGATTTGTCATACTTTTGATGATTATGGCTTACAGCTCATGAAAACCCCAAATTCACAATCTCAGAAAATTAGAATATTGTGAAAAGGTTCAATATTCTAGGCTCAAAGTGTCCCACTCTAATCAGCTAAGTAAGCCATAACACCTGCAAAGGATTCCTGAGCCTTTAGTCTCTCAGTCTGGTTCAGTAGGAATCACAATCATGGGAAAGACTGCTGACCTGACAGTTGTGCAGAAAACCATCATTGACACCCTCCATAAGGAGGGAAAGCCTCAAAAGGTAATTGCAAAAGAAGTTGGATGTTCCCAAAGTGCTGTATCAAAGCACATTAATAGAAAGTTATGTGGAAGGGAAAAGTGTGGAAGAAAAAGGTGCACAAGCAGGAGGGATGACTGCAGCCTGGAGAGGATTGTCAGGAAAAGTGTTGGGGACTTTCACAAGGAGTGGACTGAGGCTGGAGTCAGTGCATCAAGAGCCACCACACACAGACGTATCCTGGACATAGGCTTCAAATGTCGTATTCCTCGTCAAGCCGCTCCTGAACAACAAACGTCAGAAGTGTCTTACCTGGGCTAAAGAAAAAAAGAATTGGTCTGTTGCTCAGTGGTCCAAAGTCCTCTTTTCTGATGAGAGCAACTTTTGCATCTCATTTGCAAACCAAGGATCCAGTGTCTGGAGGAAGAATGGAGAGGCACACACTGCAAGATGCTTGAAGTCCAGTGTGAAGTTTCCACAGTCTGTGTTGATTTGGGGAGCCATGTCATCTGCTGGTGTTGGTCCACTGTGCTTCATTAAGTCCAGGGTCAACGTAGCCATCTACCAGGAGATTTTGGAGCACTTCATGTTTCCTTCCACAGACGAGCTTTATGGGGATGCTGACTTCATTTTCCAGCAGGACTTGGCACCTGCCCACACTGCCAAAAGTACCAAAACTTGGTTCAATGACCATCGGATTACTGTGTTTGATTGGCCAGCAAACTTGCCTGACCTGAACCCCATAGAGAATCAATGGGGCATTGCTAAGAGAAAGATGAGAGACATGAGACTGAACAATGCAGAAGAGCTGAAGGCCGCTATTGAAGCATCCTGGTCTTCCATAACACCTCAGCAGTGCCACAGGCTGATAGCATCCATGCCAGGCCGCATTGAGGCAGTAATTGATGCAAAAGGGGCCCAAACCAAGTACTGAGTACATATGCATGCTTATACTTTTCAGAGGTCCGATACTGTTCTATGTACAATCCTTGTTTTATTGATTTCGTGTAATATTCTAATTTTCTGAGATTGTGAATTTGGGGTTTTCATGAGCTGTAAGCCATAATCATCAAAATTATGACAAGGCTTGAACTATCTTGCTTTGCATGTAATGAGTCTATCTCATATATTAGTTTCACCTTTTAAGTTGCATTACTGAAATAAATGAACTTTTGCACGATATTCCAATTTTTCAAGTTTCACCTGTAATTCCAAGATTTTCAATTTCTGTATTTGACAATCTTTTTGTCTCGATTAAAACTCAGTATTTATATACTAAATTATGCTGATATTCTCAAACTATGGTCACAAAAAATAAAAGCATGATATTTCATACAGAAGTACCTCTTGAGTTTAATGGAGGTTCATGTCCCAATTGATCTTAAGGGAGATATCTGATTTCAGCAACTTTTTCTAGTACCTAGAACATAATTCTTCATGACATCTCAGTATTTTTAATAGATAGATATGTCAAATCAGGAATTTTATTACGAGACCTCATGTCTGCTTCTTTTAAATCTTTATTTTGCTGTTTATCTTAGTTAAATTTCATTTTATATTGCTACTTATATTTGCTTTCAACAATCATATTTTATAGTTTTATTATAAAATACTTTTAGTGTCCTTGTATAAAACAGACTAGCTTATATCCAAAATATAATTTTGGATTATGTCTGTTCGTAGGCAAAGGGGTTTTTTTTAAAATAAAAATTAAAATAGGCATTAGCCTGGCAAACAGTACCGACTGCAGTTTAAACATAATATTCTGTTTTTAATAACTTCTGGGGATCTAGGAATCTTTGTCATAGAAAGTTAAATATCTCAAAGGGAAAACCTGTCCTCATTTAGCTGACTTAAATCAATACCACTTGACAACTGGCTAAGCCCCACATATAGTAGGTTAGCTTTCCCCAGAATAATTGAAATATATTTCACTGCTCTTGCTTTAAAGCAACAAAACCTATCAGCATCAATTTTAACTTTACTAAATATTAACTTATCAAAGAGGAGACACTCCATGTTTTATGCCACAAACAGTATTATGTAAATTATTTAGTTTTTACACATTTTTTTTTATTGAAAATCCTTTCCATAAAAGACTCCTGTGCAGGATAGGTTTATCATATATCAGGTAAATAGTCAAATACTAAAGAATGTAATCCCTGAAAGCAAGTAAGCCATGTAAAAAACAACAAATACAAAGTTGTCCTATCAAAAAGGAAACTCCAACCTAAGAGGTGCAAATAGTAGTGTACGGTAGTATGGTAAGTGCCTGCATAACTGTTTGTACTTCTTAGGATGTGATTTCCTTTTTGATAGGATAAGTATCTAATAATGACAAGTGTCTGTATAAACTGTAAATAGCATTTTAGAGTGCAGTAATTATAAGACCATAAATGAAGATGCATACAAGGAGATACATAAGTTCAGCACTGACCTATTTTTGCTACTCAGACATTGGAATAGTCATTTTGAGGTTACTAGTAAATTGTTGTGGCATCCTAGAACACACTCAAAAGCAGCATTATGACAGCTACTCTATATAACCAGCAGACTTTTCCTCTAAAACTAAACTTTCCTAATCTTTGATGCAAGGCAAGTATCTTTGAAGCCAAGGAGAAAATGGTTATAAAACAGGAACAACCAAATAACAGCTATGATGTATCTGGTCATTTATTAAAAACATGTCCTCAATAGTCAGCTCTCTGTACTAACAAAAAAAAGAGAGAGAAATTCAAATTGTTCAGAAAAGAGTGCTTGCTGTGCCAACTTTTTAGAAATGGATGATCAGAATAATAAGTTAATTCCAACTGTTCTGAGCCTTCAGGAATTATGGCACAAGATTTTTCTGTGTCAACTAAGTGTTCATAAGCAGTCAGCACAAGTTTCATTCAAGAAATAACATGACAGAATTACAGATCTATAATCAGGAAGACACATTTGTTATAAATCCAGATATGAAAAGAGCTCTGATATGTTTGTCTACATAGATGTAACAGTTAGGACTCCCATTGCTTTACTGGCCATAAGAATCCATATCTCTTCAGATTTTTCAAATAATTCATTTAGTTGCAATTTTCTGCATCTTTAAATTCTTCTGCCTGTTTTACATACAGTCCATTGAATTTTCAGGTTGCAAGCCTACAGAAGGGATCAATCCTTTGATGTAGGCACAGTTAGAAGATAGGAAATCATCAGGCTCTGGCTCTACATTTTCAATATTGTCCATCTGATCTTTAGGACCATCCCAATTGATGTGGAAACGGGTGACTCGGGGATTGGAGGCCAGAATATTCCTCTGCAACTAGAAAAGCAGCGGAAAAATAATCAGCATTATGTAGAATAATATAAACGTGGGATCCTTGGTGCTCTCTGAGGTTGATGATTTTTTCTTGCAGGCATTTCATTACTAAACTAGGTAATATAAGTGCTACTGTGCTAGTTTGATAATGAAACATCTTCACCAAGCTCAGAGAGCACCAAGGATCCCCACAGAGCTACAAATATATATTTATAAATAGAAATACAAATACTACTAGAAGCTGATTATGAATAATTCTTACTACTCTACAGTATTTCATCAAAGTAATCTCCATGCAAGAGACCATGCGTGTTTTACACACTAATTCAATTCTGTTCTGAATGTTGAACTCCATCCCAACAAGTCAATTTGCTTTAAATGTCTGTCAGATATATCCTTTCCTCAATTAAATTACTAAATTCCTTTACTTTGTTAAGATGATCAGTAACACTTGATATTAATTTCAAGATTTAAAAATCTTTATCCTAATATTCCGCAAGCAAAATCATTTAATCACACCCAAAATTATTTCCTGTAGCTCAAAAAATATCAAGGTTCATTCTGTATCGTAAGGACTATAGATTTTTCTGCATCCTATTCAAGACATAGTGACTTTTCTAGGAAGCATATAATAAACTGATACTGAGCTGAAATCATTGTAGCCACCTCTGACCTACCTAATTCTGGGATCCTAATTTGTATAATGGCTTTTCTGTAAATTTAAATTCACCAGTATGACATAACTGCTGATTTCAAGAATTACTGACTAGCTACAGCTGCTATTTGAAGACTCTGTGAATTTTATTTTCTTCAAAACATGCTGTTTTAATAAAATCTATATACTATCAAACCTCTTGTGTTTGTAACCTTTAACAGGGTGAAAAAGTGCATCATATGACAAAACTCTTCAACAAGGGTATCTGAAATGTGCTAACTTAAAGAGGATACTGACTTGTTACTTCCGAGGGAATGAAATTTGGGAAAGTTGTGGCTGCTTCAGCACTGCTGCTGCTGCAGTCATGTGATCCTCATTTCTGTGACAGTTTCCCAGCAACTTGGGCAAGTTAGCTGTCTGCTGAGAAGGAGGAAGGAAAGAAGGAACAAAGAGGAAGGATGAAAGGGAGGAGGGAGAGAGGAAGACAGAAAGAAGGAAAGGATGGAAGGAAGATTTCCAATGCTTGCTGCCAGCTTCCCACAATGGGTAAGCCAACAAGCTGTTAGCCCACCTGTGGTCATTCAGTTTATCTTTTTAGGTAAGGAAATCTCTCTGAAACTATAATATATAATCCTCATTTACAAAGTTCCCAATACTCTGTAAATGGAAAAGGCTGGGAAGCCTGCAAGGTGAACGTCAATGATGGCAGGAGCACAGTAGTGAGTTTGGCCTTACAATTTCCTTTCTGGGGAGCTTGCAGGGAAATAGGCATAGGGAACTTTGCAGGAAAGGTTGCAAATAGCTCAGGTAAGTCTCCCCAACTCCTGCAGACTCCACCAGTCCCTTTGTGCTTGTATTGCATCACTCAGCCTTGACCCATGGGTCACAGGTTGTCTGGTTCAGTATACTTGTCTATACAGACAAAGAAATAGCTATTATATATTTGTACAGTGACCCTTTTATATCATGATAAGCAAAACAACTTATAATTTCCCACCTGAGTACTCATATTTCAGAAAAATATACCAGCCAATTTTCCTTCACCTAACTTCTAGGGAATGGGAATTATAATTTAGATAAGGGGTTGTGTTAAACTGAAAAAATACAATGAGTGTGTTCTTAATAGTGTCTCACCTGGGAAAAGTCTGGCTTGAGAGGCGGGTTCTCCCTTAATTCAGGATTTATATATTCATTATTCACATAATACCCAATGCGGATAAACTCCTGACAAAGGTAGGTGCAAGTAATGAGTATTACTGTAACTCCCACAGCATCACTTTCAGGGATTAGATCGGGGTTGGGACTATTTGCCTACAGAAGAAATGGAAAACATATCAATGACACTTGTATCTTGCTGTTCTTCCAAAGAATATGAAGCATAAATGAATTTTCCATTTTATTAATAGCAAGCCATACATCACCCCAAAAAACCCAACAGTTCCTAGGTTAAAAGAAGAATTAAATCCATTCCTAAATAGCCCAAATCAAATATAGTATTCAACACATCTCACTGGATTTTGGCACAAAGGAAGCAAAATAGATCACTGGTCTAATTTAGCACTCAACATTGCAGCAGTTTCCTATGGTGTTAGATAGGAATCTTTCCCAGCCCTTATTCTGAGATATTGGGAGTTGATCTCAGAACTTCTCCATACAGAGCATGCACTGAATTATTTAGCTATGATTGAATTAATATGTAATTTAGGACACACTCATCTAGAACCGGGATCCCCAACCCCTGCTGGTCCGTGAAGCTGGAAAGGTTGGGGAACTCTGATCTAGAACATTACTACTAGAAATATTAAAGGAAATAAATTTTCAAGTATTTGTAGATTTGTAGAATATTTTAATCCCACTTTTCTACTTAAAAGGCATTGGAAGTGATTAGACTTCTTTCTCCACTCATGCTGTGTCCCTACTTTCTTTTTCCAAATAAAAAAAAATAGAACTTACTTCGAACACAAACATATGTCTCCCAGCTGGAACAGGTCCTACCAGAACAGAATCAAGTATTTGATCATATTCCTCACTCTCTGCAGATCCCACATAGATGATCTTCCATTCCAAATCTGAAAAATAAAAACAATGGATATAATTGCAAATGCTACAATATTAAATCACTGAAATACACTATCCTCCACCCTTGCAACGTGAAAATATTGACACAAGTCACTGAATTAATATGTTTGGGGATGTTACACATCTATTCAAGAACAAGACTGATGTTGTTCTTATTGACGTCAGTAAGGCATTTGATAAGTAACCTACTTCTTGGTAAGATAGAAAATGCGGGATGGACAGTATCACCACCATATGGCTTCATAACTGGTTGACCAACTACACTCAATGTGTAGTCCTCAATAAAACTACATCTACATGAAGGGATGCATGCAGTGGGGTACCCAAGGTTCTGTCTTAGGCCCAGTACTCTTCATCTTCATAAATGATTTAAATGAGGAGATAGAAGGGGAACTCATCAAATTTGCAGATGAAACCAAACTGGGAAAGTAGCCTCTGCTCAAGCATTACCCTATACCAGGGGTGGTACTGATTTACCTTCGCTACCGGTTTGCAAATGCGAGCGCATGTGCTCGCTTCGCTCGCACGCACCACCTCTGCACATGCACAGGACCTTCTGCGCATGCGCAGAGCATCAAAAATGGGACATGATGACATCCGGGCAGGTGAGCGGAGCCTCCCACAGCTGCCGCTAACGGTTCACTCGAACCGGATAGAACCAGCTGAATACCACTATTGCCCTATACCATTCTGGACAAATGGTTGTCCATCTCTTCTTAAAAACCTCCAGTTTTGAAGTATCCACAATGTCTGAAGGCAAGCCATTCCACTTACTAATTGTTGTCCTTAGTTTTAGGTTGGATCTCTCTAATAAGTTTCCATTCACTATTTGCCATGCCATCAGGTGCTTTGCAGACTATGTCCGCTTCGTCTTCTCTCTCACAGTCCCTCAAATATTGGAACACTATTATGTCACTCCAGTCCTTCTCTTCATTTCACTAGACATACAGTTCCTGCAGCCATTCTTTATATGTTTTCATCTCCAGCCCCCTAATCATATTTGTTGCCCTTCTCTGCACTCTTTCTGGAGTCTCAATTCTTTTTTGTATTGTGGTGACCAGAACTGGACGCAGTATTCCATGTGTGGTCTTATAAGAGCAGTATATAGCAGTACTAATACTTTATGTGATATTGATACAACAGCATTCCTATGTTGATGTAGCCTAGGACTGCACTGGCTTTTTTGGGGGTGCAGCCCATGGCTAGTTCATACTTAACTGGTTATCCACTTGGAACTCCTAGATTCTTCTCATGGTTACTGCTGAAAATGTACTTTATTGTCTTCTGTCTTTATGACCATTTTATTTGGATAAAATCTTTCTTCAATTTGTATGGCAGCTCATCTCACCTAAGTGACTCTGGATACTTACAACAGTGAAAACCATCAATGACTACAGATAGTCCTCAACATACGATCACAATTGAGCCCCAAATTTCTTTTGCTAAGTGAGAAATTTGTTAAGTGAGTCTTGTCTCATTTTACAACTTTTCCTGCCACATCTGTTAACTGAATCACTGCAGTTGTTAAGTTAGTAACAAGGTTGTTAAGTGAATCTGATTGACTTGGCTTGTCAAAAGGTTGCAAAATGTGATCACATGATCCTGGAATACTGCAATCGTCATAATTGTGAGTCAACTGTCAAGCATCCAAATGTAAATCACGTGCCCATGTGGATGCTGCAATGGTCATAAGTGTGAAAATGGTCATAAGTCACTTTTTTCAGCACCGTTGTAACTTCGGATATTAAGTGAACTGTTGTAAGTTGAGGACTACGTGTACTATGCATAAACTTTTACGACAGATTGTTGATGCAGCTATGACATTTGACTCATATAGTGCAGGAATTCTAATTATAAGAATCTATGTACGATCTTCCCATGTTTTTTAAACTCAAAATGTCGGGAAAACACACCGTCAGCTTTTACAATTGCATCACCAAAATCTAGTGGAATGATTGGATGTGACTTCAGAATGACAAAAATGTTTTCAAGGGCTCCATGCAGGCCTGGATTATAAATCGTTCACTCCCAGCTCTAGTCCTGTTTCTCTAATTTTCATCAAAATCAATGCCCAATTACAGAAGACATATTCTGCCTTTGATTTAGATGGGTTTCTGAATTCACCTAGAATGTTTCACCTTCATCAGTTGGATATACTGTTGGGTAATATGTGGATTAAAGATTTGGGGTGTCTAGCAATGTAGCTCTTTGGCAACCATGAAGATAATGGTAGAACAGATCAAATTATGAAGGGAGTGAAGCCTACCTATACTTTAATTTTAAATTATGTTTAATATGTTGGAGTTGTGGCCAGAGCAAAATGTGGAAAATTATCAAAATATAGTACTAGATTCTAAGATTTTTCTATTTATTTCCCTCATGCTTTCAATATTACAGACATGTCAGGAATACTGAAGCACTCCCAGATTGAAAGGATTAGCCGGTAACATCACCATTGCCCAGGGGATACCTTGTTGGAGACTCCTTTCATGTCCCCACTAAACTGCTCACTGAAGAGGTACCCATCTATCTACTCATGGTCACCCAAACTGCTTTCAGGAGCTGAAGCAATTGATGGGAGTTTATCCCATCCTGCGGCAGCAACCAGATCTCGAACACCATCCTACCAATTATCATACCAGCATCCTAACCACATGAGCCATCATGATCTTTCCCTTCAAGTTTGTTTACAAGTGAACTATATGGTATTAACTGATGCTGAACTATATGATATTAACTTTATAGTTATATATAAACAGAATCACATAAGAACATCAGCAGTTCAAAATGGAATATTATCATGTTTCTCACAGACCCTTTTTTGTGGCACTTCCTAGGCTTCTTTACAAGAGGAAAGTCATACACTAAAAGACTGATTCCCAATTTCTTCTTCAAAAGAAGTCTATAATAGGATTAAAGTCTTGTATTTTTTTGTGTGTGGCCAGGTTAAGAAAATAGCTTCTCCTCAAAATTATTCTAAATCATAGCACAAATGAAAATCCCATGAAATAATCAGTAGGAAGTAGAAATCAAGAGGATCAAATTTAAATTTCTCAGTCCAAGATACAGAATTAGCTAGATAGAAAAAGAGACATCATATCCAATATGGGTCTTTCCTGATTGCATCTCCTGTAACAGATTGTAAATTTAGATTTTAAGGGCAGACAATTATCTTGATGTTACTAAGAAAACCACCATTACTTTGTTCTGCATACAGCAATGGATTTCTTAGTTCATTTTCCACTTGAAGCTAAATAGTTAAGTAGACTTGCCCCTCTAAGAATTGTACATGCATCTATGACAGGAGGAATAAAAGAAAAAGTAATAAATGCTAAACAGCAGTGAAATTAACTCATCCCAGAGTGTAATGTGCAGATGCATTTAGTTGACAATTTAAAGTTGGGAGGGTTTTTTTTGCCTTGCATGAAAGGGCTAATACAACTGTCAAAAAGCATAGAACAGAATAGAGCATAAAGCTTTTAATGAGCTGATGGTAAAAGCTTTTGTAAGCTCTGTAAATTAGTCCAACAATAAACAGAATACTATTTCTGTCTGATAAAATGATCTGAATGCTTTCTGCAGGGATAATAAGCCTCAAGCAATATTCAGCTGAAATCTGAAGGAATTCACGATTATTTCAGTACTCTGAAAGCCCACCTACCTTCCAAAAAACAACAACACAGTTTATTATATTCTGAAGGCAGAGAAGCTCTCCTTGTTTGCCAGGGCAGTACGAATCTCTATTAGGAGTCCCCTCAGGTCATTCCCCTACCCCCATCAAATAAAGAAAAAAAATTTTTTTGGTTACAGTATGAAGAACTTACTGTTAAATCTTGGAGGCAGAAGTATTTAAAATTGTTTTTGTGCAGAGATTGGGATAAAGTTATCAGACTACAATCGCGGTTCCAACAATTCCTCCCCACCCCACCTCCTCCCTCCCACCAACAGTAGGTATTTAGTTTCATCTAAGCCCACTTCTTTCCCAGTAACTCAAGGTAGCACGCTCCGCTTTTTGGTCCCCAAAGCCACTTTGTAAAAAAAAAAAAGGCCGGACAGCTACGGAGTGAGAGGATAGCCAGGGTCATTTAGTCATTAATTCTTTTGGCCGAACATCCTAGGACCAAATCTTCCCGCCCTTACGCATCTCTGCTCCTAGAAACGCGGCCCGTTGGAGGTAGAGACTTCGCGTGCCGGTCCTAATCCAATGCCCGATACTCACCGTGGGGCAACGCCTCTCCGCACTCGAACTGCACCTGGAAGCGGAGCGGGTGATCAAACGGGCTCGGGTTCTCCAGCAGCGAAACTCCCAAGACCGACACTCGCGCCATGACAGGCTGGCTGGTTTCTCGCTGTTCTGTCCCGCCCCCTTCGGGCTCCTTTCCCAAACCCGCTCCGCGCGCCACTGGCTCAACGTCCCACTTGTGCCACAGCCAATCCTCGCACTTCGCGCCTGAGCTAATCCGCCTACCTCCTCCCACAGGAGCCACGCCCACCTTCCCCGCCACCAATCGCCTTTCTCTTTCTGTCCCCGGCGGGAGCTCAGTCTGAAACAATCCGTCTTCGGTTCGGGTTTCCCGCTCTGGGGCCCTAGGCCCGGCCACAGCGGTCGGGCGCTGTGTTTGTTTTGAACGCTCAAACGCTAGTAGCTAATTGGCGCTTTCGGTTAGGTGGTAGGTGGCCGAACCAAGGAGGATGTGAGCCAGCTGACTCGAAACTTCGCCGAGCACACGGCCTTCCTTTGCTGACCTTTGGTCTAGAAGAGTCCTATAGGTGAAGGGACTGTCAAGCAGGGGTGAAATCCAGCAGGTTCTGGAGAACCAGTAGTGGAAATTTTGAGTACTTTGGAGAACCGGCAAATACCACCTCTGGCTGGCTGCAGAGTGGGGTGGGAATGGAGATTTTGCAATATCCTTTCCCCAGGAGTGGGGAGGAAATGGGGATTTTGTAGTGTCCTTCCCCTAGAGTGGGGTGGGAATGGGGATTTTGCAGTATCCTTCCCCTGCTACGCCCACCAAGCCACGCCCACAGAATCGGTAGTAAAAAAATTTGGATTTCACCATTGCTCTCAAGCATTCATACGCAGCTTTTAGGGCAAGGCTTCCTACCGGCCGTATGGAGGATGGGTGTTAGTTTGTGGGCAAAAGCCAATGGGCAACTACAAAAGAACACCATGTAGTCTGTTAGATTTTTTTACCCCCTCCATAATAGATATATTAGTATTTACTCCAGTTGTAAAATGTAAAATTTGCTACTACCGGTTCTGTGGGCGTGACTTGGTGGGGGGGGGCGTAATATGACAGTGGGTGTGGCCAACTTTTTTTTTAACTTCTAAAACCATTTTTTCTACAACCTCTGGCTGAAGAGGTTGTAAAGAAAATGCTTTTAAAGCCTCTGATGATCCCAGCTGACTTGCTTGATTGGCAGAGGCTTTTTTTTTTAAGCCTCTGACATCCCAGCTGACTTGCTTGATGGCAGAGGCTTTTTTTCCTTTTAAAAACATTTTTTCTATAACCTCTTCGGCCGAAGAAAATTTGTAGAAAATTGTAGAAAAAATGCTTTTCAAAGCCTCTGATGATCCCAGCTGAGCTGCGCGATCATCAGAGGCTTTTTAAAAAACTTTTAAAAGCATTTTTTCGGCCAAAGAGGTTGTAGAAAAATGTTTTTAAAAATAAAAAAAAGTCTCTGATGATTGCACGGCTCAGCTGGGCAATGGGGGGGAGGGGGCAGGGATTTTGGCTACCGGTTCTCCGAGCCACTCGCCTCCATCGCTACCGGATCGGGCGATCCAGTCCAAACCAGGAGCATTTATTGCTCCTGATTTATTCTCTCCCACAGAGTCTAGTTTTACAGCCATGAACTAAACTAAATTTTATCCCAAAGGTGTTTTTTCAAGAGGCAACCGGACTTCCTTGTTTTTCTTTCAAGACTTTTCACTTCTCATCCAAGAAGCTTCTTCTGCTCTGACTGGATGCTCGGGAATGGAAGGGTTTGTATTCCTTGCAGACATTTGCATTCTTTTAGAAAGCCATTGAGACCACCTGGAGGTTTATCTGTGTCATCAGGGTCACCTGAGTGGTGCAAATTGGTGTGGAGCCTTCTTGGAGCTGTTGAAAGGACATTGGAGATAGATGATGTCATATCCCTCATCCTATGTTGAGAGAGGGTTGTTCAATTTTGACAGATCCTTCCATTCCCCACCATGCAGCCAGAGCTGAAGATGCTTGGATGAGAAGCGAAACGTTTTCAAAGAAAAACCAGAAACTCCAGTTGCCTCTTGAAAAAGCACCTTTGGGACAACCATGACCTGGATGACTGAAAAACTCCATAGACACACTAAATTTTAGTTCATTGAAAACTAACCCCAGTGGGAACTATAGCACAGATAATGAATCAATTGGCTTAAAACTAGAAAGAGAGGCTAATATTGTGAAATTAGAGTGGGGATGCCAAAAGGATCGGGGGAATCAAATTTGGTTTCTAAACATAACATTGAAAGTAACAAAAAATTTTCTATTCGATTCTGTTGGTATTTTGAGGAATAAAAAGTACAGCTGAACAGCTAAACGGTGTAATGTTGATGTGGATACTTCTTTGCTTTATCTTATTTGAAGATGAAATGCGTATTTAAAAGAAGGTTAAAATGAATGCTGTAGATGGTGTTGGGAAGAGCATTTTTTCCTTTTGTAAGGATTTTGGGATTTAAACTGTCATAAACCAAGCCAGTCAGACTCTAGCCCTGTTGGGCACAGTCCCTTAAATAGGAATTTTTTCAGAACTGAGAAAGATGTAAATGGGATTGTGTGACTTTAGTACACTAGAAGAAACGATCACAACGCTTGGATTATTTGTTACACAAATGACTGTAGGAAGTTAGCACCTATCCCTTTCCTAGAAGAATGAAATATTTTAGGAAATATTAAAAAGGCAGAATATATTTCCCTGGATGAGAAATGGAGAAACATGTTTTAAAGACAAAGCAGCTCCCACCTTCCTGCCTCCCCCCCTCTTTTGTCAATGGACCAGAGGCAGAAACCCAATCATTTATCAAAGGACCATCATCTGCAACACAATAGGACCCATCTAGCAACAGAAACTAACACAATGGGACCCATCTAGCAACAGAAACTCACCAAATGACACCTGGGAAGATTACATCAGCCAGTAAGGCTAGCTAAGACCCCCACCCCCTGGGAGTGTGATAACCAATCGGGATACTCTTTCTGGGCCCCAGGAAGTTCAAAGCCAGAGAGGGCATAAAACCAAGGTGCACACAGCATCTCTGCCCCTTTTCTGTTCAGGAACTCAAACCATGTGATCCTGTCCACCATTAAACCATCTTTCCAAGCAATCTCCATGTTTCCAGTGTCTTTTTTCCCTACTTGAAACTGAACCCAGAAGGATATTTCTTCTAATATGACAAAGGTCATTTGTTGCAGAGGCTGACTTTGGTGTCCAAGTTCTTAGTGACAAAGCAACTGGGAAAGCTGAAGTGCTGAAAGACAGCCCATCTCATTTCCATCCAGTCAGCCTTCTAAGTGAGGGGTCCTTGGTGCTGTTTGAGCTTGCTTGTTTTCTTGCAGTGCTAGCGCTTGTTTCTTGTTTTCAGTGCTAGCACTGATGATGTTACCTAGTTTGGGTAATGAAATCTCTGCAAGAAAGCAAACTCAAAGAGCACCAAGGACCCCTCATTTCAACCCTGAGCTACAAATACTCTCCTTTATTGGAGCTATCTAAGTATCTCAGTAAACTATACCAAGTATTTTAGCAAACTGAACAGCCTTGATTAGGGTTTTGTCTGAGAAGCAATCTAGTTAAATTCAGGACGAACTATGCTGCATTATGGAGTACATTTAGTGCTACGCTATGGAGCAGAAACATTCTTAACATCCAAGAGAGATACTGTATGTCCTTTAATTGACCTGAAAGCAGCTTTTGATTCAATTCCTAGAGACAGCCTCTGGGCACAACTGATCTCCTCGTTTACTGATAGAAAATTTGGCTTCTGATCATGAAATATAATGGAAATATTTTAATGCAAATTAGATGGGCACCAGTCCCCTCTCAAAAGGGAGTAAAGCAAAGCTATAAACTTTTCCCCATTTATTCAATTTTACATCCGTTCTGTGATCTGAAAAAGTGAATTCCAACTTCCTAATTTGGCTAATAAAACTATTTCAGTCCTCCAATACTATGGATGCTGGGGCTATCTCTGCAACAAGCCGCCAAGCTCTAACTTTATATTGTGGAGAGGAAAAAAATGTTAATTGCTCCAAAACAAAGGTAATGGGTTTAACCAAAAGCCAGGCTAGTCATACCTGCTGCTAGGAAATAAATAAAATTTATATGGAATAAGCTAAGATCTTCAAATACCTGAGAATTATTTTTTTAATCCCTTGCTTCCTCGAGGGAACACACAAATCTGTTACTGGCTAGCCCCACAAGGTTGCTAATTTATTTTAAGTTTTGTTGGCAGCAGAGGTAGTAATTATGTCTTTACCACTATACAGCATCTATAAAACTAGCATAATGAACTTCCTGCTTTATGTGTCACAAATTTGTACTTTCAAAGATTTAAGTTTTGCAAAACTACAATTCAGAATTTTAAGAACTTTACTTCCAGCTCCTTGGTGTGCCTAACTCTTTGTTGTGCTTGTAATTGGGCCTCGTATGGCAACATTTAGGTGAAAACCTTTTTTTTTTCCTGGGATTTTTTGTTGCTTTAACTTTTGGGTAGTTAATAGTCAGCTAGAAAGAAAGGAATACTATCAGATGTATGGACTATCAACCGGGTATCTGGTTTAACAGAGAGTGAAATAAATTAATCTGGATTTGAAATAATGTTTCTTGGAATCCAATCTTGAAAATGATTGGAGTTCCATTCCACTCCACTTCTACTAGCTAACTAACGTCTTGAGTTTGCAACACTGAAAAGCTTTCTTCCAGGTGGGTTTAATACTGTGCATCAGTTATACAGTATCAAAAAGGAGATATAGTAACATTCCCCAAATCTTTAAATACCATTTTTCCACACCATGGAAATATTTATAAAATGTATTTGTGATTTTTTGTTTTTACTGTTTTATGTTTTACTTATATATGCATATACTTCTTTTTGGATATTTTTATTTTATGGTTTTATTGATTGAATTTCACACCTTTTGTGGTGGATACTGTTTTGTGCAAGCAAAACATGCTATATCTCTAAGATGGTCCAGGAATGGAGGAAGAAAAAAGCCCTAACCCTACCTTTTGTCATTAAGTTACTGATGTTCCTCTATGATCATGTGACTGGGAACTGTTTATAGATGGATCAGCCTTCATTAGTCAAGATGGCGATAGGTGCTTTTCCTATTCTGTTGTTACTAACACCTTCATACTAGACTCCTA